TTTCCATAGTTGCCACGGCGCATTGCGCCAATCTCAGGGAGGCAGTTTGACGCGACAATAGCAATTGCTCAATCATGGCGTCGCCACATGGCACAAAAATAAAGAATCTATAAAAATGAAATTTAGACAAAATAGGTATTTGATTCAACCACCAAAAAATAAATAAACGAGTTAAGTAACCTATTTTTTACCAAATTGTATAACCAAACAAGTTCAAAACTTCAAAGAGTACTAATAAATACTCCCTAAGTAAGTAATTGAATAAAAAAGTTAAGTTCTTCCATAAACTTTAACAACATATATAAAAAGTTGTCTCTTGTAATGATAATGACGTCATAAAAATATAAACATGGCAAATGCACTTGTTTGAGTTGTCTCTTGTCGAATGTTGATTAGAAAAAGGATAAAAAAACAAGGCTCCTAGCCATGCCATGTGCCAAATTCACTTATAGCTACATAAAGAGATAGCAATCACCAAGAGGCATCACTTACACACGAGAGAATTCTACATGCATAAGACCATAAGCAGTATTCTTTCTAAAACATTTGGTAATGAAATATTAATTGCACCAAATAAGAGGGTAATGCACACCTCAACACTATATGGTTTAGAGATATATCCCTCGAACTAATCCTTTATTTATTAAAGACACCCAAATCACTGTGTGTGGGTTGGTGGGAGTAGCTTTGGTCCCCCCGCCCCTTCCCCCAACGCCCCTGGCAAGATTTGGAACTCACCTCACCAAAAACACTCATTGTCACTAGAAACAAGTTTCATCAGCCAAAGAGAACCATGTTGAAATATGATAAAGCTTTAGCAAATAAAATAAAATAAAGGAACGCTTTATGAAATTAATGAATTCAGAAGCTTCATCAAATTCTTTTAAAGCTTTAGCAAATACGAAAATTCAGGTGCCTTGGTAAATTCAAAATAAAACGAAGGAGATTTCAGAAAATTGAGCAATTCAAAATTCAGGATCTTTATCAATTTTTTTGAAAGACAAAAAAGGATATTTTAGAAGATTTAAAATCAATCGTGCTTGTTGTATATATCACTCCCCTAATTTATTACTCCGTAAAATTTTAACCCAAAATCTAACCTTTATCCCCAGCTGAAGTCTGATGGCCGCTGCTTAAAGGAGTCAAAATTTAGCCTTTATTCCCACTACGTCGTCGGCTTGTCGCTGAAGGCTGGATTCCAGAAGATGGGTGCCTGTGACAGTTGCGAGTCGCCACACGAAGAAGGGAGCTGAGATTGTGGGATGCAATTGTCCTTCCGGTACAAAGAAAATCCTCCGCCCTGGTTTTGACTTGGGGGTCCCAGGAAATTTTGTTATTTTTCTTTCAATGCCTTGTAAGAATGTTTTATTTTATGGTATGTTTGAGAACATGGATTTGGATTTCAAATTCGGATTTGGCTTAAATTTCATGTTTGGGAAACTTAAGCATTTTGAATTTGGATTTGAATCAAATTCTTTACATTCAAAATAAAGCTTAATTTGAAATCCATGCACTTCTCCTTGTCATTTGAAATTCAGAATTTCAAATTTTGGAATTGAAATGCATCAATTGAAATGAAATGCTAGTTGCCAAACACTACCTTAATGTATTTAGAAGTTGTTTGTGAATGATTAACTTTAGGAGTAGACGCGGTTCGTGATGGTTCGTGATACTATCGGAACATATCACGGACTGCTCTTACTTAAATGGTTTGGTATTGGTACGGGATGAACTCCAAAACCATTCGGTACCATTTCGTTTTGAAACGGAATGGTACAATACCATACACATGCTCAAACCGTGCCAAAAAAATGAATTTAAATTACTCAAATAATATTGAATTTAATGTATAAATTTGTATAAAAAAGCACAATTTGTTAAATAAAAGTATTGATTTCAAATTTAAACGAATCATAAACATAAAGGATAAAAGATAACGAGTCCAAAGTTAAAAAATATTTTTTTTCCCAATCATATAATATCGGAATACTAATAATAGAAATCACCCTAAATAGGACTAAACCATAGAAAAAAGTACCAAAATAGGACTTTCATGTTTTTTTCCCAAATATGACTTTGCCCTGTTGTAATGTGGCAGTTTACATGTACAAATTACTATACTTTTTTAGTAATGTATATGAGCATCGATGGTAATGCAAACCTATTTCAGGAATAAAAACATGAAAGTCTTATCTTGGTATATTTTCAATGTTTTAGTCCTACTTTGGTCTTTTTCCCTACTAATAACTATAAAAAAATAATGCTAATAGTAATGATAAATATAATAACAACAATAATAATGAGAGAGTTAAAAATGAATAATAGAATACGAAATATTCTATATATGGTAAGGTGAAGTAGACAAATACTCCATAATTATTTGAGATACGTACTCCGTATATAGCATTGGACGGTTCGATCCGTGATAATCGGTTTTAAATATATGTATCACGGTCCCGTCCCATTTGGTATCGGTTCGGTTTGGGTTCGTGATGAAAAAAATCAATCCCGTTTGAAAACACTAAAAACGGTTCGGTACCATTAAGGTCTGATATGGTACCATGCTAGTTCAGTTTTTTTGCCTACCCCTAATTAAGTTATGGATAAAATGATTTTTACAAAAGCTGAAAGCAAAACTACCTCATGTCTGCTTCTCCGAAACGGTGTTCTACATACAAAATAGTGGTGGTGAAAAGAAAAAAGCTGACATACCAAACAGAGTAAAATCACTTCTACTCAAAGCAGAAGCTAAATTATTAAAAGCAACGTACTGCCAAACACCCTCTTAATCTTTATGATTTTATAATTTTATAAGATTATGGTTGTTTGTTTATACATAATTTGAGTTACTTAAAAAACTTATTTATTTTCTAACATTAACTATTACTTATGAAATTAACCAAAAACCTTGAAGAAATACTAAAATAAATATATATTATTTTTTTAAACATTATTAATATTATTATTATAAATTTATTAGCATAAAATACTATATTGTTCATTGTCATAAGAAATAAAAAAACTTAACTCATTATTATCTCAAAACTATATTTTATGTATGTCAAAATTTTTCAATGAAAATTTAAAGACAACACAAAAGAAATTATTATCTGAAATTCAAAAACAATTTAAAAATAAAACTATTAAACAACATAGTTCTCTATTCCTATCACTTCTTCTTCCATTTATCTAAAATAAGGACTGTTAAATATATTCTATATTTAATATAGTATCTTGTGTATATGGTAGTTTTTCTTATGTATAGGTTTCCTTATTTACATTTTACACCCTTGTTGTAACTATATATAGGAGCCTTGTTCTCCTTGTTCAAGATAGAAAATAATATTTCTCCTTGGTCGTGTAACGCCTTGAGAACCGGCTTATTAGTTGGCCATTATTTTAATAAAAATAAATTTATTATTTATTGACTTCAAAATATGAAGTATTTGTAAAGTTGACCATTTTAATTAAAAATTAGGTTTTTTGGGTAGATCTCGTAAAATGGTGACCAACAATGTATAGTTTGTTAAATTTAAACTTTTGTATAAAACATGGTGAGTAAAATAGAAGTTACAGTTCAATAAATGAATATAAAGATTTTATAATATTAAATAATAATAAATTATTCCTATGCCCATTTGTATTTCAAAGGGAGAAAGACCAAACTAGGACTAAAACATTGAGAATATACCAAAATAGGACTTCCATATTTTTATTCCCGAAATAGGACTTACATTACCAAACATGGTCATATACATTACCAAAAAAGTATAGTAATTTGCACATGTACACTGCCACATTACCACAATGCAAAGTCACATTACCACAGTGCAAAGTCCTATTTCGGGAAAAAAACATGAAAGTCCTATTTCGGTACTTTATACTATGTTTTAGTCCTATTTAGGATGATTTCTATATTCCAAAACGGAAAAAAATCCTCGCCCAATTAAACTGTGTATATCATAGTTTTAAAAATCAAGTCGGACTGGCCGGTTCGGACCGTGAACCGGCGAACCGGTGGTCCAACCGATCCGGTCCGGACCATTGGACCGTAACCTGCTTCGAGCCGGCCCAAACCGGCCGGTCACACCAGTCCACCTTGTTTTTTTTTTTTGCTGATTTTTTTCCAAAACATGCCTCCATGTGGGTTTGAACCCAAGACCTCTTAGACATTTGGTTGAGCTCCTAACCATCCAAGCAATGGTGCTTTTTGTTACAAGTTCACATAATCTTTTATAATATTCCATAATTACAAAAAAGATTGTATATAAATTCCTTTTCAATTTTATTACGGAGTAATATTATATAGCTATGAGTCAAACTCAAAATCATTGATATTATTGATACTATTACAAAATGCAAATCATGCAAAGATTTCGTTTTTTTAATACGGAGTATTAAACAACTTATTTGAAAAAAATAAAATCAACTCTTCATTTAAAATTCTTTTATATTTTTTTAATATGTAAATTTTATTTTTTAATTTTATCAAATAACTCAAGTATATTAATATAGTACGGAGTATTACTTAAATGTTATAAATTTCTTTCTTTAAATATTTATAAATGAGAATGTGTGTGTCTATGTGTATGTATGTATGTGTGTGTAAATATATATATACATATAAATATACATAAACACACACACATATATATATATATATTTATATTTATATAATTTTGAAATATGTTTAAATCACCGGTTCGACGAGTTGAACCACTGATTCAACCAGTAAACCAGTACCTTAACCGGTTCGTCGATCAATCTGCCTGAGACGTCGCCGGAAAAGAGAACTTCGCCGGAGCTTCCGCCGGAATCTAGGTGGGGATTATTTGTGATTTCTTCATCAATTCCATTGAGGTGAGTGATTTATCTCTTGTTAGAATTGATTTGTAGATTAGGATTGTTAATATGTGATTGTTCGATTGATGATGGATTATGTAAATTGAATTGTTGAATTTCTTAATCAATTGAATTGGATTGGGAATTTGGATGGTTACTCTGAACACCTCAATTTGTTCTACTCGTCTCTGTCCTTTTCTTCTGTTCGCTCTTTACTGCTCTGTTTCATTCTTCTATCTTTGCTCTGTTCTTTTGATCTGTCGCCACTGCGTGCTGCGCTGGACTTGGGGTTGGCCAAGTTGAACCTAAAGATGAGTTCTTCACTTCTTTGTAAATATTACTATTTGGCCATGACATTTCAAATTGATAGCAGATGCACTACTTTAAATACTTGATCTTTGAATTCATTCATGTCCCAATTCTATCCAAGTATACTAATACTTTATCACGTGGCTTAGGTGGTTTATCCTGGTAGTGGAATTTACCAAATAATGGATTTTTCACATTATATAGAACCTTTGATTATATTTGGTATCAAATTGGAATAGGCCCTCAGGTATATCCAAGGGTTATGACCTCAATTGAATCGATAAGGATTAAGGTTTAGGATTTAGGCATGGTGGGGCGAGCTTCGCATAACTCACATGTCTTGGGTTAAAAACGTACGTACGGGAGTCATTAGCCTACCTAGGGATTCCTTTGTAGGGGCTCCAACCCGCCCAATGAGGATTCTCTTTGGGTTTCATCAAGCGTGGTTTTGGGGGATCCGTCCGAGTGTCCATGGCTTAGTTAGTCAAAAGGAACCTTAGCCTATAGGGTTAAGTATAGATGAACAACAGGAACTGAATATAAATAAATAGTTTATCATGATATTTGATAATGATATTTGCTGATTCTTCTGATGTTGTATGATTATATATTGATGAGTGCTAGTCTATGAGTTAGTTCTAGCATTAGATACTTCCACTCTCCCTATTTTTACAGGTAGGGATCAAGGATTGGATGAAGAGCAGCCTGGAGGACAGTGAAGCGTGATGCTGGTGGATGGCCCGATGTTGTTTGAAATTGAATTAGATACTTGTTGACTTTTATTTTGTTTAAACTACAAGAATGTTCGACGTTGTTGTTTTAAAAGCTTCCGCAACGTTTGAATTATTTACTCCGATTAATTATGAATTGTTTTTAATTAAATATTATGTATGTTTTTTTTAAATATTTTCAAAATATTATGCATGTGAATACCAAATTAGTGACAACCCGACTCGCTAATTCGTCGGTTCGGGTTACGCGAGTTTGGGTGTTACAGGCCGACTTTCTCAATGGCAAATCCATCCCCTCAAGCGCGGACGATGCGGAATGGTTCCAACTCGATGCCCTCCTCTAGGGTTGGATCCTCTCTACCGTGAATGATGAAGTCTCCGACTTGGTTATCTCTTCTACAAACTCGGCATCGGAATTGTGGAAATCCATCTACTCTCTCTTCCATGATACCAAACTCGCGCGGGCGATGCAATTGGAACATCTCTTTCGCACCACCCACAAAAGCTCTCTCTCTATTGCTACATATTGTCAAACCCTGAAGAACATCGCGGATTGGTTAGATGACGTCGATGCTCCCGTTTCAGAGCAACAGCTTGTCCTCCAGGTGCTCAGAGGTCTGCCGGATGATTTTCGAGCTCAAACATCATTCCTGCAATTCCAAACACCGGCCCCGACTTTCCTACAGGTCCGCTCAGCCCTCCTCCTTATTGAACAACAGCGGACCGATCTTGGCTCCAGCAGAGACACACCGGGCACGGTGCTCTACTCTGGAAGCAGCCCTAGACTCCCCTTCGGCACTAACATCAGCCGCGGTAGTGCCCACGACAGTGGCGGATAGAGTGCAGTGGCGGCCCAGGCGCGTCGAACAACCGGCATCGTGGAGGACATCACCGAGGTCGTGGTCGAGGACGAAGCCCCAGATCTTATGCACGGCCCACCCAAGCACAGCCCCCCTGGCAGTTCTCCCACCCCAACCCAAACCCCGGCCTACTCGGCCCCAGGCCGACCCACAACCCCTCGCCCCACGCCTACTTTGCCTCCCCCATAGCCCGAACACCCAACCCCCATCCTACCCG